AAGAAAATAAATGTAAAATAAAAATTTCGGCAAATAAAAAATTTTGGTAGATTAAAATTTTATTGTAAAAAAAAATTGGTGTAAAAAGAAATTATTTTAGTTCAAAAATTGAAAATATAAAAATAATTATTTCTAATAATTTTATCATAAAAATTTTAATTAATGATTTTCATGGGATAATTATGCGCCACGATAGTGTTGACTAACCGGTTTAGATATTTTAGCTATCAATAAACTATTTTTTCTATATCTATCAATTTTTGTCTAAATTTTTTTGTTCCTTTGTTTTCTGAAGAGTATATGCAAACTTTATCTAAACTTTTGATCATTTTCAAAGGCTGATAATCGACCTCATGAGACCGGATATTGGTTAAGCTCGGTGTAGATGTATTTCGCTTGTCCAAAGCTCGCCTCGTGAATATTCCAAGCTTTAAAAGCTTTGCTTTTCGTCGTAAGGTAGGGTCCGTCACGTCTGTAACTAGCTTTCTCTCTCTTTGGAGAGGGATATATATATATATATGTAGAGTATAAAGTGGCATCGAGGAGTTAAGCAAGAGAGAAGAAAATACATTGAATATATAGCGATGGAGAAAGAGAGAAGAGAGAGACTGATGATGAAGAAGAAGAAGAAGAGGAGAGATACAGAGCATAGCCTACGTTAGGTAAATTCGGTGTAACTCGAGGGAATGAGAAATTTCGGAGGAGTCTAGAGAAGACCACCGAGGGAGGATCCGGGTTGATCGATATCCACATACGCGCGTCCACCGTTCCCTTCGACCTCTATACGGACTTTTCCTGCGTTTTATCTTCCCTTCTATATCTTTCATGAAACCTCTTCGACGTGTTTGCATTTTTCACTAGAATCAAGTGTTGTAACAAAATTGCCAACCTTTTTGAATTTCAATAAAAAATTGTTCAACTTTTAAAAAGAATTAAAACAAAAAAAAATAAATAAATAATTTTTTAATTTTATTACGTAGGAGAAATTTAAAAAAAAATAATTTTGAAATTTTCTTTCCTGTTTTCTTTTCGGGACATATTGAGGATATGACCTCGGTTTTTGTCATTTTATAGATGTCATTTCCTTTTTGACCAAATGTGCGCCAGTGGTCTGTTAGCAATATAGATTTAAACATTTGTGTGGCAAAAAGGGAAAACTTACAGAACGAAGCCAAGTGGTTTTTCCCAACAAGAAAACGATTTTAAAGTCGTAAAGAGAGTGACCATGAAGTTGAATTTAGTGCCACTCGTCGTCACACATGTGTGCTTGACAGATTTTATGACTACCGTATTTGCAAATTGTAGCGAATCAAGAGAACTTGAAGAAAAAAAATATATATATATATGTATATAGAAATATGTCTTATAAATCTTGATTCTCAACCGAAATAATTTCAATTTTAACTTGCGATTTATAAAAATTCCAAACGGGAAAAAAAAGAAGTTTTATGAAACGAGTTTTTAAAAAATTTAAACTTCTAGGAAAAAAAAAAAAAAATGTTTTCAATTTTTCGAAAAAAAATTCTCACACGTAGTAATAGTAATAATGATATCTAACGAAAAATATGTTATCTAACCTTGATCATCTTTAATAGACATGAATTTTGTATTCAAGAAACGTCTTTCTAGTCCTCTAGTTTCAGAAACTCAAGACACGAACCCAGAAAAGACTCTTCGACAATCAACAGGGGTCCGTTGATTCTCTGTTTGTCTTTGAGCGTGATTGGCTCCTCGTGTTAGAATGACTGTTCAGTTCTGCTACCACATTGGGTTCCGTTTATTTTGCCCGAAATACTATGGTACTGATTAAATACAGTCCAAACAATTGAATTTAGAAATTTTTAATCTAAAATATATAGAGATCTTCAAAATTATAGATATAAAATTAGTTTCAAAAATTAATTACCTATTAAATTCTGTTTTGATTTTGAAAATTATTATTTTTAATTTATTTTTCAAAAATGTTTCGACCAACAGTCGAGAAATTCGAAAACTTTCCAGATTCCACCCTACTAGTATTAAAGATTTTACGTATATAGGGGTAGGTGTTTGCTCAGAGCGAATATATATATATATATATATATGTGTGTGTATATTTACATACGAAGATGAGAAGGTGTAGGAGAGTGATATGAGGCCCTGGAGGAATTCAGTGGCAGGCGTAAATTCAGCCTTGGTTCTCCAGCTTCAGTCGGTGGTTCTCCCCTTCGGTGGACTTTAGAATTCACCCTAAACCACCCCCCACCCTCACCCTATTCTATATAGCTATATGGCCACCCCGTTCTCTCTCTCTCTCTCTCTCTCTCTCTCTCTCTCTCTCTCTCTCTCTCTCTCTCTCTCTCTCTCTCTCTCTCTCTCTCTCTCTCTCTCTCTCTCTCTCTCTCTCTCTCTCTCTCTCTCTCTCTCTCTCTCTCTCTCTCTCTCTCTCTCTCTCTCTCTCTCTCTCTCTCTCTCTCTCTCTCTCTCTCTCTCTCTCTCTCTCTCTCTCTTACTCTCTTCTCTGCTCATCGCCACTGCCGCCTTTAGTGACAACATTCTAGAACCTTGCAGAGGGTGACCAACCCCTCTTGCAAAGTCCAGTGATGCTCAAACACACCCTCTATATCACTTGACTTTGTTCACGACCTAAAAACTCACTCATTCGATTCAGAAAAAAAGTACTTAAGCCGATTAAGTATTTTATATACACATCAATCAAAATTTTATCTTATTAATAAACTTTAAATAATTTAATAATTATTATTCAATTTCAAAATTGTTGAATTAAAATTTTTTTTCTTTAATTAAATTTTTTATTTATTTAATTGAAAAATAATTAGAAAAAAAATTTGCTATTCTTTTTTAAAAATGAAAATTTTTACAGAACGCATTGATTTTTATTTTACAAATTTTTTAGATAATTTTTATTTGATAGAATTTTCATAATTATCAGAATTAATATTTACATAACACCTTTTATTTAGAAAGAATTGTAATTTAATCGAATATTTTCATTTAGCAAAATTTTAATTAAAGAGAATTTTAAGTGGTGAGAATTTTTAAATTTTACTAGAATTTACCATTCACCGAATTTTCATTTGTTCAAATTTTTATTTGTACGAATTTTTATTGAATAGAATTTTTAAATTACCAAAATTTTCATTTATCCGTAATAACAAATAATCAAATAAATAATAGACAGAAATATTTTGGTGCGATTTTTAAAAATTATCAAGAAAATTGTGATTGGTAAATTTTTAGAAACAACGCCGAATTCTTTTTGTTTTATTTATTTGCAATTTTGGATAAATGAAAATTTGGCGTTTTAAAAATTCTATCAAATAACAATTTGTGCAAATAAAAATTCGATGAATTAGAAATTTTTACATTTAATAATTTGTATCACCTAAAATTTTCTTCAATGAGAATTATGTTAAATTAAAATTCGGTTTAATTAGAATTCTTTAAAATAAAAAGTTGGATAAAAAGAAATTTTGTGAAATAAAAATTCGGTATCTAAAAATTTTGTTAAGTAAAAGAAATTTCTATTAAAGTTTAATTCGAATAATGAAAATTCGCCTAAAAAATAATTATTTATTTACTTATTTATTTACCTAATTGTAGGTAAATATAATTCTTTAAATTTAGTTTAATTAATTTAATTTAATTTTCTTTAAAATATTCTTTCTGAAATTGAAAATTCTAACTAATTATTTTTTTTTTTGGAATAATCTGGCGCTCTATTTTTACACTAATTTGCATATTAAAAAAAAAAATAAATAATAAGTATGGACGATTGGTTGGAACAGAATGCATCGAAGCGGAGAACATTCTGAACTCGATAAGTGGCGTATGTAGAGGGTAGAATGGTTCAGGTTTGGTCGGCAAGTTTTCGAGAAAGATGAGAAGAGAAAGTCATTTTGCCAAAGAGATGGAGAGAGGAAAAGCGAATTTCATGCAAAGAGTATATACATTGAGAGAGTGGAAATTCCATGAGCAGTAAAGAAAACATTGTAGAATGTAGAGATATAAGGACTTTAGAAGTCTTCCAAAATGAGGGATGAAGAAAGTGCCAGCACAAAATATATATATCGAGAGGGAGAAAGTAAAATAAAGAGAAAGAGAGAAGTGAAAATGTGGTCTTGGATGATGGCTCTCTGTTGAGCTATTCACTTGTCGACGAATATCAACCCTGTATATTCGAAATAGCTATAACATCTTTCGACAAGAACAATAAAATATTCGATTTGAATAATTCTATAAAGAAAAAAAATTTTTTTTTAAAAATCCAAATCTTCATTTCTATAAGATTTGTTTTATCTACTTCTTTTTGAGTTTGAAAATAGTCAAGGACGAAATTGGTTTCTTCGAACCGATATATAGGATAAAGAAAGAACGTAACAAAGCAGAAACCAAAGAAATTGGATTTCGTGACTTTTCAATTCTCTCTTTTTTTTTTTTTGAGAAATATTTGAAATCAACGAAAATTAGTTTATATAGTTAAATATAATTTTTTGAAAGAATATAAATTCTAGGGTAAATTAATTTTCGCCGCGGGCTTAATCCAAGGTCCGAGAGCGTTAATTCTATACTAAATATGTATATGTGTGTGTCAGTCTAAAAAAACGATTGCTAAAACATCTCAAGATCCGTGACATATCAAAACGACTAACTGACGGATCGATTATTATATTATAGTCTTTGAAAAAATAATACAAGTTTAATCACGCGTGTGACTCAATATATATAAATTTTAGACAACTCTTTAATTATCTGTTGAACCGCTAAATTTACCTTCTTTTAGTTAATTGGAATTGCAAATTTATTTACCAAAAAAAAACTTTTAGTAAAAAAATTAATCTCAATGTATACATCAAAGAAGGCAAATTTTTGTAATTATTTAGTTTTCAATAATTTTTATAAATTAAAATAATAGGGTAAATTTAAAAAAGTTTTATATATAAGTTTGTGATTATGATTACCTTTTGGGCCTTAATATTTGTGTAATGATAAGGACTCACCGATTTTGAATTTTCCACCATAGACAGCAAATATCACCTCATCTCTCACCTCATCTGGTTTATCGCCATTTCTTATCTGCTTTTCTATTCTTCAACTCTGAAAATGTGAAAAATAAATAATTTAAAATAGTTATAAAATCTAGAATATAATTTTAGTATACTTTATCAATCATGAGATAATAAAACTAATTTATTGAAAATTTTTATTTATTAAAAATATATTTATCGAATATTTACTTTAATTGATTATGGAAGACACTTAATTGGAATCCTTGAGAATTTGCAGTCTTTTATAATTTGATGATCCTAAAAAAAAAATATTTATGAAAAACGAGAAAAATATAAATATAATTTTATATTCAGGTTTTTTTTACAAAATACAAAAAAAACTGTTATTATTTTACTGTTTCAAAATTTCGGAATTATTATGTTTTTTTTTTCTTTAAATTTTCAAAAAAAAATTCAATGTATATTTGAAAACAGAAGGGGCTACACGCAAAATTGAAATTCCCTATCAACGTATCTGTAGTGTCAGACTCGGGAGATCCCCTATTTTCATAGATGATCAATTTTATTTAAAATTCTATTTTTCATTTAAATATAATAGTATCTTGAAATTTATTATTAATACTTACCAAAAATATTCATTTTTGACAATTTTTGAAAAATAATCCTCCCAAAATATCCACTTCTTTTGTTGTTTAGAAATCACGATTATGTAGTTTTTTAAAACAAAATGACGATGGAAGCTGAAAAATAAATATTTATTTCTATTTAAAAATACCGTTCAACTTTGGAAATTATTTTCCAAAAATAATAATTTTTAATTAAATTTACTTAATGTATTTAAAATTAAAAGATTTTAATAAAAGAAAGTACATGGAATTTCTAATGTAAGCAAATTTAAAAACAAATTGTAATATTGATAATAAGTTGATTAATATACTGGATTTGTATTTCCTAACCTCTAAACAAAATTTTTGTTTGTTATATTATTATTATTCATACTGTTTATTTATTAATATTACGTAAATATTATTTAACGCATTTAATACCAAAAAAAAAATCATAACCTTAAATCTAATCACATAATTGAAAGACAAAATGTATTAAAAATACAAAAAATTATTTCTATATTTTTATCTATAACAATTAATAATTACAAGTATAAAGGGAAATACAAAGTTTCCTTGGCAGAAGAGGAAGAAAAATCAAAAAAGTTGCCTTTGTTCATTTATCATTGAAAATATACTAAGCATTTAAGAAAAACTTACCATATCTGCCAATTATCCTTCCAGGAGATGATGTTTTATCAGACTCCGATCATGAAAGTCCAGGATGAGTTTAATTATCCGTTAATAAAGTGGAAATTGCAAGTTTTTCTTAATATATTCTTCAATTCGTCGCCATTTTGGAAGAAAATGTCATTGACTTCTAGAAGGGAGGGGGAGGGTTCGCTATATGTAATAACCTGTGGAAAAAATGGCGGTAAAGTATGCTGTGTAAAAAGGGTGGAAGAGGTAAAAAAAGGGTTAAATTAGTGCAACTTTATTAGTCCCCATTATTACAATTACATTTTGTGTTTCATTGTTCAGAAACATTTAATACTAATCAAAAAACAAAAAAAATTAGTCAAAATCTATTTTTTATTATTTTGTGCAAAAAATGGACTTTTGTTAATTTTTGACATATTTGGATTAAACTTTTAATAAAATATTATTTAACTCGACACAAACAATAATTAAAATACAATATCTCATTAAAAAAATGTGAAAATCTTACCTTTTATTGAATAAACAGGAGGATGTGGAGAATAACCGTCATTATGAGCAAAAATTTGACGAGAAGTAGAAGTAATAGACTACCTTTGCTGTGATTGGTAGATATTTTATTATAATTTTCTTATTGGTGGACAAATATCCTAGTAATAAAAAATATCCCTGCGGAAGTGACACATTTAGGACGTTCCACTTCTAATGTTGGTGCGCGTAATTACCCAACCCTGGCGGTCAGCCATAGTCTGAAGTCAGCTCTTTGTGAAGTTCTATATTTTCTACACAAAGCAAATAATAACGGTCAAATAAAATTTAATGTGATAATTGTTTAATAATATAACAATGTAATTAGAGATTTATACGTGATTATAATTAGTTTTTCGACACAAATCTCCTTTGACAAAGTGATATGATCATCTGCTGTTGACTTGTATAGGTATGTATATTTGTTTCTTTTTCCTTCAGAATCAGTAAAAATGGTTGCAATTCGTCACATGATTGAAAAAAAAACAGTAAATTTTGTGAAAAGAACAATAGATTTGTAAATTTCAATGAATTTTTAATGCGCAAGCGCCAAAAAAAAGTTTGCCATTGCAGCCTCGTGTAATTAAATCGTATATTGATAGAAATAGCATTAGTGCGGTTGTAATGTAATTAAAAGTAGAGTCAGTGGGGGGTTATGATTGCCATGTCTTGTTGAATTTAAGTTTATAAAAAAAATTGTGATAAGTGTTTTGTTGCTTTAAAATTGAATAGTCAAGTAAAATTAGAGTCAGTGTAGGTTATTATTTCCAGTCTTGTTGAAATTGAGAAGTTGTGATAAGTTTTTTGTTGGTGTGGTTTAAAATTGTATAGTCAATTAGAGACAATGCAGGTTATTTTTTTTTGTCAATTTTCAAGTGCGTGTGATATATAAGGTATATTTTTAATTATCAATGAAAGTTTTTAATAATTCTAAGTTTAATTTTTTTATAAATTTTGTAAAATGACAAATTAATATTCTACATTTTATAACTATTTTACATTATTATTCTAATTTTTTTTTCGTAATTGTATATTATGAGAATGTTTCTATATTTTACTAATCCATTTTTTCAGTCTTAATTTATAAAATTGGAGGACAAATTCAAAAAAAAAAAAAAAAAAAGTAAAGTAATCTATATATTATTGTTGCTTTTCCATTTGAATCGATTTTTATTTATTTTTTTATTTTTTCAGCACTAAAAGACCAGGAAGGATGATTGGAAAAGGCGCTGATCCATAGATGAGTCAATTTTTGAGCTTTCAATTGTGGAAATTCATCATCGGTGAGTCCATTTTATATCTAAAAATTTATTTTATTATTTTGAAAAATTAATTTCAATAATTTATTCCAAATAAAATGAAATAATATTATTTTACCGTGAAACTTTAAACTAAATCCCTAATATTTATTTTCATTGAAAAAATTAATTATACTATGTTTACAAATGAGATTTTTTCTAATCTACAGCAAGGAAAAATGAGGAAAGTATTTAAAAATGTACCTTGAAAATTTGAATTTCATGGTTAGAATTTTAGAAACACGGTAATTAAGAAAGTAGGCAGGTGAACTGGTTTAGAAGAGAGGCTCTTTTCGAACAGAAAATTATGGCAAGGAGACAGATGATTTCACGTTGTGCGTTTTCGTGTTGCCATCACTCTCTACCTTTATATATACATATAGTATATATATATATACTAGGGGGTGGAGCGAAAAGCACTGACATCCAACAGACTGACAGTGACTGACATTCGTCTGACGTTTCCAATGATCTCCAATGCTTAAAATTAACGGTCTTCAAAAAATCGCTTTTTAGGAAGGAATCACTGTCCTTGACAAATAGAATTCAATCTTGAGAAGAAATAATCCAGAAATATTTACAATGGAAAAGTCCATATTTAAATTCAAACAAAAATTTCATTTTCTTTTTTATTAGAAAAATGTTCAAAAATTCTTGTTACATTTTTTTCTTTCGTTAAGAAAAAAAAAAAAAAAAAAATTTCAAAATACAAGAAAGAGAACAACTCTTGACTCGTTTCTTGAGATTTTTTTTTTCATTTTCTCCGAAAATGAACTGGAGGTCCGCTTCCGTCGTAAGGGGGGGCAATGTTAGCCGGGCAGTATATTTCTTCTATTGTCTAGCGACGGAGTTTCCTATTGTTTCTAGAATTTATCGTTTCACGGGAAGTTTGGCCACACGGTATAAGCGGGTGCTTTCATCTTGAGAGAGGGAAGAGAGATAGATTCTCTCTCGGGTGCTCAACGATAATTAGTACTTCTCCAAATTATTTATGCCCGAAATAAATCAGGTGAAAGCTTAATTGCTTTCCCCCATTCCATACCTATCCGATAATTTTCTGCTGACTGTGCAATTTATGCGCGAAAGATGCGCTTCTATACTTTTGAAATGCGCGTTACTATTTATAAAATCAGCAATTATACATATATATCAAATTATTTCCAGTTTATTTAAAATAAAAATCAATTTGATATTTTTGAAAAAACTATTTTTTTTTTTTTTTGTTGATAAAAGCAGAAAATAACACAAAAAGCTATTAATTAAATTCCTAATCAATTCGATACACTGTTGCCGTATCGATTGGAAAAAAAAAAAAAAATTGATTCTCGATCAACTAATTATATGCGCGTCGGCAGTCCACTTCGCTTTCGATAATCGATAAAGACTCTCAGTTTCATTCTGCCGAACCGTGCAATCATCGCTCGTAAAGCTGGACCACGAATCGTGATTTTAACGACATCCCTTTATCTATCCAACGTGTTGAATTTATGATCTTGAAAGCCGAATTTATTTCTTAAAGTAAAATGTTACAATGAAAATAAAAAGACGTCACTTCATATAAAGTACATATGTATGTATATATAAAAAGAAATAAAAAAAAAAAAAAAAAAGAAATATAAAATCTCGTCGTAAGTTTGAAACTTGAAGTTTGAAACGAGAAAAGGAAATGAGGAGAAGGGATGTTTGGCAACAGGTTTCATCCCTCCTGTAACACTACCCCTACTTTCCTTTTGAACTATCATCTTTTCTAAAAACGTCTGATTTTTCGTTCGACAGAATTTATTCCATTCCCTTTCCCTCCTCTCGACACTTTCCCACTATGAGAATTCAAGTTATGCATTTTGCGGGAAAACCGGTTTTATCCTCAAAATTATAAAGCGGCGCTACATTTATCTCTCTCTCTCTCTCTTCTCTATTTCACTCAAGAATAAAGTACATATTTTGACAAGGGCATTTAATTTTTTAAAAGAATTAAAAAAAATAAATTAATTAAAAAATTTTTTTTTTTGTAATTTTCGAAAGGTTAAACAATTTTTATTATCAGAAAATAGAATCAACATATTAGCAAATTCGTTATATTTTTTTTATTTGATGTGTAATAAAAAAAAATATAAATCGTTTAGGAACTTGAAGAATTTCTATTCAGTTAGTGCTTATAGCAAACATTTGAAAGGTTCTTTGTGACCTCCTACAATGTTCTTTATAGCTATTGTTCAGTGTGCATCGATAATTTGGAACATCCTTGGTGCTTTGAGATATATATTGGTGCATCGAGATCGCACCTTTAAAAAAAAAAAAAAAAAAAAGAGGGGGAGAAATTGGAGGGTGCATTAGAACGCTTTAGAACGTGTATTTCTTGATGGTGCCGCCACCAGTCTATTCGGAAAAATAAATCTTCTCTTCCTGGAAACACCAGCTCGTTGGCTAAGTTATATACATATGTATAGTAAAAAGAGATTTCCAAGACCAGTTCTAAGCCTCTCTCCCATCACTGAAAAGTGAAAACAAGTCCTGCCCAGTTCCTCGCACTATATATGTATATAATATACCCAGGGAATCCTTAGCTTTTACTTAAACAGTAGTTTCTCTAAATAAAGGACCTGAATAAACATTTTCACTTCTTTATTTTTAATATCAACATTGTATTCTCTCATGATTTTTTTTTTTTTGAATCAAATTTTTTCCTCTATAAACTAACTAAAAAATTATCTTCTTTTTTCGAGTATTTTAATATACAAAAAATTTTTTATTATCTTTATTTGTAAGGCAAAGCTTTGAATAAAAGTCTTCTGAAAAGTTTCATGGAATAGAAATAAACTGGAAGCATCGCTGGAAGCTGGATTTCGTTGTATTGCACGAGAGGTTTCGCCTGTAAAGAAAATTTATTGTCTAGCCACTCAAGGACAAAAACACCCTGAATAAAGTACACTATAGTAGACTGTAGACTAAAAAGTTTCTTCTTTTTTTTTTTTTTTTTTTTTTTTCGTGAAGCAGGTGTTTCTTTTCTTTGCGAATGCATAAATTATTTTGTTTCAGGAAAAATAATTTTTGGATCTTATTGTTTTCGAAAAAAAAAATTAGAATCGTGAAACTAATTTTCTTTGTGCTTTTTTTAAGGGGAAAAAATACTACACTGAAAAAAAAAATTATTTAATTCAAATAATCGTTTACTTAACAATCAAATAAATATTTACTAAATAATTTTTATTTGAATAATATGTATTTGAACCAATAATTTTTGTATTTAAAAGAAATATTATTTCGAATAATAATTATTTGATACAAAATAAATATTTATTTGATAATCAAGTAACCGATTATTTGAATCAAATTCATTTTCTGTTTATTGGAATAATTTTCAAAAAATAGTTTTATTATTTAGTTTGTTTTTTTTCCCCAAAATCAAAAAAGAACTTTTCTCTCATGAATAATTTTGAAAAATGACATTGTACTTCCTTTCATGTCGATTACATATATATCAAAGACTAAAATTCTGAATGGCGGGCAAAACGCCTTGACAATCGAAGCATTGTCGCTCTCTCTCTCTCTCTCTCTCTCTCTCTCTCTCTCTCTCTCTCTCTCTCTCTCTCTCTCTCTCTCTCTCTCTCTCTCTCTCTCTCTCTCTCTCTCTCTCTCTCTCTCTCTCTCTCTCTCTCTCTCTCTCTCTCTCTCGCTCGCTCTTTTGAAACTGCAGACTTCACGTCGTTGCAGGAAATAACATTAACTTCCGGTGTGGCAAGGTTTCT